ATAAACACTATGAATTTCATATAGGGTGACAGTTTTGAAATTGACAAATCTATATGTGTTACATTGAGTTGTCCCCCATACCCCTAGGTATTACAAAGAATTTCAGGGATCAATAGTGTTTGTTTAACATCACAATTGTATTATCTGTGTATTTGTCTAGACAAAAATAGTTAATATGAAGCTAATTTACATCAGATCTACTATGGAACCCAAGAATTATAGTACCGTCAGAAGTATTTTAAAAAAGGAGCAGGGTGAAAAAATAGCGCCTTATATCTTCAAAATAAATGAAACTTACACACTTGAAACTTATCTAAGAAAAGAAAGGATTATTTATGAAATTTACTGAAAACAAAATGAAAGTGTGCTATTACCTAACAAAAAGCAGAAACCCTTAGAAGGAAAATAATTTTATTATTACAATTTTTTTACCGACTATTACTATCTATAATGGTCAATAGTCCGAACTTAAAATTTTAGAAGATCTTTCTAATTTAAGTAATCATATTTCCTTTATTGGAAAGATTGTTTGTATCACGGAAAATTTTTAAGCCGATCATCAACCTTTTAGGAAATCACAAGGGAAGATCGTTCCGAAATTTTACAATTTACATATAGACCTATATAAAATATTCTAACTTTGAAGCCATATAACTCAAAACTTTTCTAATAAAATGAAAAAAGTAAACTGATGGAAATGAAGCTTAGGTCTTTAGCTTTAATTTTAACAGTTTACTTTTTTTTTTTATTTTTTTTAATAAGGAGTTATAAGCTTTTAAAATCATGTGATAATCATTGACCATTACAGATGTCCTGTACTATACAAAGAAAATTCTCCTTTATGCAAATGTAATTAATGATCATCATATTGCATTGCTTATCAATAAAAAAACGGTGAGTTTTGAACAAATTCTACTACATTTAAGGATATATTTTATAAGTCTTTGTTTTTCTCTCATTGACATTGAAACAAGGTAAATAATTCTGCCTTGTATTGGAATATTATAAAAACATTACCAATTCATTTAATTTTCAGGTAAAAAAAATTCAAATAACAAATCCTTCATTAAACAATTTTATTTTAGTTTAAAAAAACAAACAAATAATCAGTAAATATTTTCATCCATAATAACATTTTAAAATAATGCTTAAATTCAATAGTGAACTTTTTTGCAGGTTGTTAATTGGACTCTTGCTTGGTTTCTTCACCATAAAACTTACAAAAATCAATTCTATATTATAAATCAAAAAATTGATCAAATAATCAATAAAATAGAACCAAGAAAAAGCCAACTCAAAAATAAAATAAACAAACTTACTGATGATAAAAAATATTCACAAGAGATTGAAAATCTATAGAAGGATTTCAAACAATTATTTGACAAAAATACTGGGTTGAATCATTTAATGGAATGGTCATTGAAATTCATCAATTACTAGGATATGGAAAAGGAGTTACTACTTCCACAATAAAAAACTTCTATCAATGAAAAACCAATCCTAGAAGTAAAACAATAGAAGCAATTCAGGAATGGGTCAACAAAGAAAAGAAGAAAGAAGTGGTGAAGTTGATGAAGATAATGAAAATGAAGAAAATACAAATATTAATAATAACATTATTTGTTAGTAGTAATAATGAAAGTTAGATTTTTGTCAGAATAGATAATACTTACAAATGGCTTTTGGTCTGAGTATTTTCCTCCCATGCAAGTGCTCTGGCAATTATTTAACTATATTTTTATAAATTATTCATATATTTTTTTTTATTGGTTGAATTAAAATAAAAATAATTTTCTTTCGTCATTTAATTTATTTGTCATAAAAAAAAAAAAAAAAAAAAAAAAATTTAATTGCAAGTCATGTGCCCACTAATTTATCATTGGTTCAAATTATTTATAGAAAACAATTAATTGTAACAATTACGATCTAAAATCAATAAAAAAAAATTTTTTTTTTAAAATTGATTTTTTTAATCTCAAGAAAATGGCAACATACGAAAAAATTGAAGAGAAATCAAAAATGGCAGAAGAAGAGTACAAGAAAGCAGATAAGAGGTTGAGTGATTGGGAAGAGGGTGAAGACGATGGGAAGTGGTTGAAGAAGTTGAGGGGAAAGGCAAGAAGAAAAGAACTTGATGAAGATGACAAGAGGCAGTTGGAGAGACTGGAGGAGAAAGAAAAGTCGTTGGAGGAAACAAAGAAGAATTGGGAGGTGTTGTATCAAGAACTATTATGTGGAGAGAAAGGTAACAAACAAATTGCATCAAAAAAAAAAAAAATTTTTTTTGTTCATTCCATTTTGTTTTATTTATTTGTTTTGATATATATACCATTTATGACTTTAATTGACTTGTGGTCACTTTTTCAATACTTTATTTCAACACCTTTTTTTCTATCTATCAATTTTCAAAATTATTCTTTCATTTCTCTCATCATCTAGTTTACTGATATTAGTTGTTATATTCTTGTTTGAGTGGATATTTGGTATATTGTTTATGACATTTACTAACACTAACTTTTATTTGCTTCATTTAACCATTTTTCAGGAAGAGGTAAAAAGAGGCAATCATCTGAAGAAGGTATGAAAGAAATATATTTTTATTTGGATAAACATTGTTTATTAGGTTTAAACCTAAAAAATTCATTGTGATAACATAGATGAAAATAGTGCAACAAAGAAACTTAAAGAAAGTGATGTTATCAATTGGGAAAAGGCATTTAAAATGACTTTTCAAGATCCTGGAAGCTATATAGGCTATTTACATGAAGAAATTCAATTTGGAATTAAAAATGCAAATGCACATTATAATTATATAGCACTTATACAAAGCTCTGGATATGGAAAAAGCCGAGCTGTTGGGGAGCTTTCAAAATTGAATTATTGGATATTATTATTCTGTTTCCGGTCAAATGAATCATCAGGTTTTCCTCCAAAAACACCCAAATCTAATGACTTTCTCAAAGAATTACATGAGAGTGAAAATGCAGATGATGCTGAAAAAGTAGCTTTACTTTGGATTAGTGTTTCTGTGCAAATGATTAGGAAATACAAAGGCAATGGTTATGATTCTATTGGATTTTGGGAGATGCAAATAGTGAGTACATCTATATATAGTAATTAATTATGTAATTATTACTTCTCTAACTCAATGCAATGGTGGTTGCAGAATAATAGTAAAAAATTTTGGGATGAAGTTGGAAAAGTAAAGGATAATCTTTTTGAAGAAAATTACAACACCCTTATTGCAAACACACGAAAATGCTGTGCTGATCTGGGTTCTGGTAAGGTACTTTGTATGTTTGATGAAGCTTCTTGGCTATTGGATCCCAGTACTGTTCCATATGGTAAGTGAACTTGTTCAGGAGTGAGGTGTTTAGTGACACATATATTGGTTAATAGGTAATTTATCTTAATATCTAATATTAGCATGATGTTTAATTATCATTGTAAAGATGACTGTAATAACTTTCCATATAGAGGGTGCAGAAGAGCACTATCCAGGATTGGAGACTGCATATTTGGAATAATGACAGATAC